GTCGATGTGCAGCATCGGTCTGCCCACGTCCAAGGGGAGGGCACAAACACCACCTCCTGTAGGTCACGTGGGGGAAGAACACTACACTGTTGCAGCATCTTTGGAAAATACAGTCTGCCAGAGTGGGGGTCAGGGGGCAGAAAACAAACCATAACATAAAAAATAAGTAAATTATACAATGGGTCAGTTTCCTATTGCTACATAACAAATTACCACAAGTCTAGCAACTTAAAACTATACACATTTGAGCCAGCCTTGATGGCCTAGCAGTTAAAAGTTCTGCACGCTCTGCTTCAGCGGCCCAGGTTTGATTCCCGGCACAGAACCATACCACTCATCTGTCAGTAGCTAGGATGTGGCGGCTCACATAGAAGAACTAGAAAGACCTACAACTAGAATATACAACTATGTGCTGGGGCTTTGGGGAGGAAAAAGAAGAGAGGGAGATGGGCAACAGATGTTAGCTCAGAGTGAATCTTTCCCAGCAAAACCAAAAAAAAACAACACACATTTATCATCTCAGTGTCTGGTCAGGAGTCCCGCAGGGCTTGGGTGGGGCTTCTGCTCAGGGTCTCAAGGTGTTAGGGTCTCATCTGGAGGTTCCTCTGAGGTAGGACGCCTCCAAGCTCCCTCAGGTTCTTGGCAGGACCATTTCCTTGAGTCTGAGGAGCGGAGGCCCCGGCTTCTTGCGGCTGAGGGCTGGAGGCTGCCCTTGGCTTGTCACCATGGCTGCCCCAACAGGGCCGCTGACTGCATCGGGCCAGCGAGGAGAGCCTCTGGAGCGAGTAGCCAACTCTTATTATGTTACATTATTATCTTATTGTATTATCTTACAATATATTATCTTACTATCTCATAAGGTGACGGAATCATGCCAGCTTCTATGGTTGAAACAGGTCCCTGGTCCTGCCCACCCTCCCAGAGAGTGGGCCACTCAAGGGTGGGAGTATGGGGCGGGACCATGGGCTTGTCCCCAGTACAGCACCTGAGAAGGTGAAAGATCAGCGGGGAGCAGGAGGGGCCCTCAGAACCGCTGGGGCAGGTCAGGTGGAGTGGCTTGGCTGCTGTGGGGAGGGGTCAGGAGCTCGAGGTGGCCACACTGAGGTGGGACACCTCTTCGGGACCATGGGACCACCCACGGATGGGCGCTCCGCTCTCAGCGGTTCCGCCACACGCGGGGACAGGCCCGGCGTCTGTCCTGCACCCATACAGCACATGGGTTTTCGGATCCGCTGTTAGCGCTCCGTCAGCAAATGCTGTGCTTCGCGAGGAGAGTGCAGCATGTGGATGGCTTACTTTTGTCCCTGGGATGCAGCTACTGAGCTGGGGCGCGTGGTCACCCAGCCAGCCAGCTGCATGGAAGATAGGATGGGAAGCCGCAAAAATGCTTGCCCCACAGACGGCAGGCCCCACGCTCTGGAGTCAAAGGTCAAAGGTGCCGCAAACACCCCCACCCCTCCCCTGTGCTGCTGAAGGCCTCCCCTCAGCCCCACTCCCTCCCGCCAGGGATTTCTTCCTGTGCTCACTGGCCAGTGTCCTCTCCACTTAGGGGGCTCATTTGCACTTACAACGGGGAGCCAAGTATGCCAGGCACCAGTCTGGGGGGTGCATGCAGCCACCACGAGCGGGTGGAGAGCAGGAGGCGTTGCCTCTTTGGGGAAGGGCTCCAGGCTGCGGGGAGCACACGCTGTCCCACGGACACTCTCCCTTCTGGCTCCTCCCAGCTCCCAGGTGAGGCCAGGCTGCCCACCTGCCACGTCCTCAGCCAACGCCTGCTCCAGACCCACACCCAGAAGCCATCTGTGCACCCCCCGCCCAGGCCCATTGGTCCCCCCCTGCCAGGGCGCCTCCAGTCTGCCCACTGCTCCCGCCTCAGGCACTTCACCTCTCCCTGAGACTAACGGCCCCAACAGACGCCCAAAGACCCCCCAGCCTGGAGCTCAGATGGTGGACCATGGTTCTGTGGTCTCCCCCAAATGAAGCCTGCCTGCCAGTCCAAGGCCGCCCCTTGCCTCTAGCCTGGAGGGTCAGTGAAGGGCCCGCTCCTCCCTGCTGCATGGTCTCGGCCCATGCCACTCTGCTCATCACATGACTTCAGGTCTCTCCCCATCCTCATGGGTCCTTGTGGGGCTGTCATCTGAGAAGCTGCATGACCTGCCACACCAGGGCAGTGCAGGGGAGGGCACAGGCGCCAGGCAAGGATGGCGGGATCCAGGAGAGGGGGCTGTCCTTCCCGGGCCAGGGGAGTCGTGCTCTTGGCAAAGGCCTAGGCAGGAAAGAGCCTCCATGGAGGAGCCTGGAATCCACGTCACCCTCAGCCAACACCTCACTTAGTCTGGGTTGGTGCAGGCTGATGGCGACCTGCACCTTCATCCCCAAGAGTCTTCGTTGGCTGCCCCTTGGCACGAGGAGCCCAGAGGGACACTCAACCCAGAGGAACTGCCCCCTTCCCCTGCCCAGGAGCACGGAGTCTGACCAGACTATGCCCAAGGCTGACAATGTCCCCAAATGGGTCACAGGGAGTGATGGGGGCACTGGGCCCAGGCCCAGGAGCACAGGGCAGCCAATGGCCTGGGCATCTCCTGCTTCCTGGAGCGCACAGCCCTTCCTGAGCCCTCCATGCTGGCCCATGGCAGTCACACGGTAGGCTGCACCACGGGGCAGTGGCCTGAATCCAAGCCACTGCCACACTCCCCTTCCCACCGGGCAGCGCGGGGCCTGTGTGGGCCATGTGGCTCTGTGAGCACTTGGAAAGCCCTGGCCGCGCTGGAGGAGGGGCAGAGTGGCTCCCTAGTGAGTGTGGGGCCGGAGGGGCAGACCCTGGAGAGCAGCAGCGGTCCTAGCGGGCAGGGGTCCAGCAAGCAGTGGTCCAGCTGCCCACCTTGTGTCCAGCCAGCGCCCACCTCGCAGCCTGGGGTGCAAGCATGTGTCCCTTCATTTACTGTGGAGGAAGAACAGGGAGACAGGGAGGAGAGAAGGGTCTGAGCCGGCCGAAGCTTGGATCAGGCTGGACCAACAACCGTGTCTCTGTCCACCGTCCTTTCTGTCCAGGGAGAGGAGGGAGAATCTATTCCCCCGCCTCTCCCGTCGTCAAACATTTGCCCTTCTCGGGGAGCTCACGGTGGCCGTCAAGAGGGAGCCTGGGGCCTGCTCCCCCCTCGACTGACTTGGCCTTGGCTTCAGCCCCAGGGACACCCCACAGTTGCAGGCTGCAGTCCCCAGCTCCGTGGTCTCCCCTTTGATAGTCCTCAGCCCGGGATCCACAGCCCCACTGCCCCTCCCAGGACCCAGGCTGAGGCTGGCACAGGGGGACCCAGAGGGGTGGCTGGGCGAGGACATGTGGCTTGCAAACATTGGGCCTGGGTGTGCCTGGCCAGAGCAGCCCTGGGGCCAGGCCCACAGTGGGGGCTCACTAAGTTCATTGACAGGGTGGGCCCTTTCTTGCCAGGTCTAACTCCAGAATCACCATCCTGCCGAACCAGCTGCAGCAGGAGCCATGGGCACACGTTAGGCCCAGGGACAGTGGCGTGGGGTCTCAGGCAGCAGTACCAGCGACGATCACCACGACACGACTGCAATCACCTGCTCCGCCTGATTGGGTGTCTGCCATCACGGACGCCAGGGAAGACCCTCACTGCGAATCAGCCCTGGTTCCCATCACCTTCGGGCTGGTGCAGGAACGCCCCATCTCACACACACGGGCTGGGGGAGGACAGGACTCCACGAATCCTCACCATGGCCTCATGGGCGTGGAGCATCCACCCTGCCCGAGCGTGGGCTGGGCCACAGGGCCTGCTTTGGTCAACGGGACCCTCACAGCTGTGGTGTGGGCAGAGGCCTGAGCTGTATCCACACAGGTGGCCCTCATACGCTTCGGCCTGCACTGGACAGTGCCTCCCCTTCAACTGGGGCCCAGAAGGGGCAGGCGAAGGACTAGTGGTTGTGCAGCAGAGCCCCCTCCAGGCTGAGGCGCAGAGCTGCAGGCCGGCGAACGAGAGGCCCATAGCGCATGGATACTGTTATGCAGCGACACTGGGGCAGTAGCTGACTGATACAGGGATGCAGATGCAGGGCGGCCACCCCAGGAAGGAGGGTGCTGGCACACGCTCCCTTCTCTGGAGGTGAGGGGGTAAGTACACTGAATGGCCCTCTGTCCCTCCAAGCCTTGGCTTTGGCCTCCCTGGGTCCCTCTGGAACTGGAGACACCTCCAGCATGGGAGTGTGCGAACCCCCTCCCTCAGGCTGCCTGGCCTGCCCTCTGTCCCCCACCCTGGCCCTGAGACACCGGGAAGAGAGGCTCGAGAGAGGACCTCAGCTTGGGGAACCCGGGCCCCAGCCTATCATGTCGAACATGCCCCAGGGCCCTGACCTAGGCCTCTCCACCACAAATCATGCCAGCTTGGCCATGGAGGAGAGGCTGCCCTCACCCTCTGAGTCTCTCAGGGAGGCAGGGAAGTGGGCTGACATTCCTGCCCAGGAGAAGCAGGAGGCTATGCCTTGGCCCGACCCAGCCCGTTCAGATCCAGGGCCAAGTGGGAGGATAATGTAGGGGCCACTGGAGGGGGCTCTGTAGCTCCCAGGGGTCTGTGGCCTGCCCCTCGCCTCCCCTGGGGCACTGCTTGATCTCAGGCCTCCAGGTCCCCCCAGGGGGGCACCTCTGGGGCCTGTGGGCAGTGTGTGTCCACCTGGGTGGTGGCGTGGTGGCAGTTAGGACAGCCAAGCAGACACAGGACAGAACTTTTATTGCTGAACACAAAACCGCCAGGGAGGCCTGGCCGGCAGCTTCTTCCCTGGGCAGGAGTCCTGAGGGAGGGCTGGGGGGCGCATCACACTGCCACTGCCATATTCACAGCAGGGACGGGCCTGGAGTTGAGCCCTGCCTGGGCCCCCTCAGGGCGGAGGGTTGGGGGTGCATCCTGGAAGTGAGGCTGAGGATCCAGGGGTGGGGAGGTGGGCTGTGTGGAGGGGCCGACTGGGCAGGGCCCAGCCCAAGGGAGAAAGCAGGGCCCTGGACACGCACTGGTCACGGAAGGCTGAGAACCAGGCGGGCAGAGCAACGGCTGTGTGGCCCCCGTTGGGGGCTCGGTGGCAGGCGGTCCCTCCTCTGGGGCAGTGGTGGGCGGAGTCTCCTTCCTCTCCAGGGATGAGGGGCTGAGGTAGGCACGAGCTGGCCCCCTGGGCCCTCACAGACGGGGTTTGATGTGCAGAGGTTTCCCTGTTCCGAGAGGAGCAAAGGTCAGGCACCAGAAGCCCCCCAGCCAGGAACACCCCCACCCCCACAGCTTCTGGGTCAGGATTGGGGGGACTCCATCAGCCCAGGCCTGCACAGTGGGGGCCGCTAGAAATGGGAGAGAGCAGCTTTGGTCAGGCCGCCATCTTCCAACCCACCGCCCACCTGCCCTGGGGTCCAGCCACCTAGCGGGGCACAGGCCTGGCTGGTGGGGCTGAGAGGGGAGGGGGGGGGAGCAGTAGCCTGTGTGCTGGGTAGCCCCTGGGCAGTGGGCAGGTCACAGGTGGGAGCCACAACAGCCTCAGGTGGAGCTATAAATACCAGGTGCACACCACCGGCATGCAGCACACTTGCGCTTGCAACAAAGCTGCCAGACGCACACGTGGCAGCCGCACTGTGCCTTCAACGTGAAAAGCCAGGGTGTGTGAGAGAAATGGCTGTGTGGTGGTGGGAGGGCCTGGGCAGGAGGGGCGGAAGGGAGAGGCTGCAGCACGTGGCCTGGAAGGGCTTCCCACAGCAGATCAGGGGCCTGCGGACGAGAGTCTCGTCCAAGGGGGCTCCCTCCCTGTGCGCCTCACTCACTGGGCGCCATGCCTCTCCCCTGCTGTGACTGCTCCAGGACACCTGCTGCCGGGTCCCCACTGATCACAGATGCCTCCGTGTGGCTGCCATAGGCACGGCACTGTCCACATACCCCCTGCAAGCCTGCCTCTCCTCCTGGGTCCCCCACTTCAGAGCTGAGGACCCCAGGCACCTGCTCAGCCAAGCCAGAGCTCGGAAGTCAGGCCCAGCCAGCCGGGTCCCAGGCCTGCAGACCTCACCAGGCTCTGCCCCAAGCTCTCACCAGGCTTGGCCCCTACCAGTTGGCTGCCTGGGCAGGTGCAGCCGGGTCTCCTGCCCTGGGGCTGGCCCAGGACCACCTCTACCTGCCCCTCCAGCTCCCAACCCTGGCCAGGCAGAGCGAGGCCTGGGCAGAAAAGGAAGGCTGATGGGGGTCCCCGGTCAGGGTACATCTCTGCAGCCTCTCCTGGGCCTTGCCCACCCTGCCTGCATCCTCTGATTCTAGGGTTGGCTGATGGCTTCCTGATCTTATGGAAAAAAAAAAAAGAGGTGGCTGCTTCAGGGCCCCCAAGTGCTCCCTCCCAAGCAGTGAGCCCAGAGGCCCACCCAGATGCAGGGGCCGGTGCCCTGGCCGGGCGGGTGGAGGGCCTGGCCGAGGTCCGCGCCCTGGCAGTGGGGGCTGTAAACAGGCGGCGTAGGCTGGCCTGCTGCGCAGGCGTCTGAGTGTGCTCAGCGGAGCTGTTTGAGAAGGCTGCAGCAAGCATCTTCCATTAACGTTACGACCGTGAAATATGACAATAAAATGATAGCCGTATGGTCGCAAATTTGCAGCCCGCCAAGCTGCGTGGGGTTTATCGTCACTCAGACGCGCGGAGAGCTGTAAAATGTTTACAGAAAGGGTCGTTTGCAGCCATAAAATCCTCCTTTCTCTCCTAAACAAGGCTGAGTGGAGCCATTTACCAAGCCCCAAATGTTCATCAGGGGAGAGGGAACATCTGTTCTCCCCAGGAGCGAGCGGTGATCTTCCAGAACAAATTAACAAAAATGGGTGCTTCCTAATTAAATCAGCCCTTGGCTAGGGTGGTCTGTGCAGGCGGCTGCTGTGCTCGCACCTCAGCGGGCCCTGCCCCTGTGGCTGGCAGGTGCACACTTGCCAGCTAGAGACACGGCACAGCAGCGCCCAGACCACACCGGGCCCTCTGGACCCATCCAGGGCCCACCTGGAGATTCTGACTTGATGGGTCTGAGGTGGGCATTGAAAAAGAGTCCCTGTCGTGCCAGGCTGGGTTCTTGGGGGCCAGGCTGTCTACCTGAGTCCCTGTGGGCGGTGCTCCTGGAAGTCCGGGCCCTGGGCTGGCCTCCTGGGCTCGGTGAGGACTGCAGGGAGATGAAGGAAGGCAGCTTGGAGAGGCTGCCGGAGCCCGTCACCATCACCGCAGAGGCAGCCTCTTCCTGGAGAGACAGCTCCTCCTGGTCCAAGGACAGGGAGGGGGAAGTGGGGGAGGCGGAGGAGGAGGAGTGGGGGGAAGAAGGGGAGGAAGAGGAGTGGGAGGGGGAGGAGGAGGAGGCCTTTGATGACAAGGGAGAGGCTGAGGCCACAGCTAACCCCCGTGGGGAGGAGGGAGGGGAGGCTGAGCCAGCGGCCACGGAGGTGGGGGAGCTGGGCATCTGTCTGGCGGGGCGCTGGGCGGCTGAGGACTTCCTGTGGGAAAGGAAGGGGAGCAGAAGTGTGAGGGGGGTGGCTGCTTGGCAGGACATGGATCTGGAGGGTGCTGGCCGACCACCTGCGTGGCGCCTGTCCCAGCAGCAGGGCTCCTGGTCCCTCCCTACCCATTCCTACCCCAGCAGCCACTGGACATCACCGGATATCCAGGTCCAAAGCTGGCCCTCGGCCCCAAGGTCAGGCTGGTGACATTATGAGACCTACAGCCTGAGACAGCTGGGGTCATCCCAGCCGCAAGCCCCAGCTCAGTGACCCTGTCCTCACCTTCCAGAGCCTTGTCCTCCTTGTCCACATGGGCTCCTACCCTCACAGGGCAGGGAGGCACATGGGCCCAGCCACGAGCATCACCCGGACCCTCCTCTCTCCTGGGGGTGGGAGTGGGTGGCTGAGAAGCCCCCATCTTCCTCCATGGGGTGGGGGCTGGGCAGCCCCACTCAGGCTGGTCTGGGCCACGGATGCCCTCGACTCTGTCCAGCCTGGGGACCCGTGGTGGGGCACCTCTTGAGGTCACTTGACCCTCAACTTTGGACTGAAGTTTCTTTTTGCGTCTGAAGCCCAAAGAGCTGGGTGGGTGCATAGGGGCTCCCCCTAGAGGTCCTGAATGTCCCCAGAGCAGGGAGGGGCTGCTTCCTGACTACCCCTAGAGCTTACATATGCAGCCCTGCTGTCCCCGTCACCTGGGCCCGTGGTTCCTGGGGGCTGCGTCGCTGGGCTCTGGGGCCACGGATGCAGCTGCCCGCCGGCTGAGGCGCTTCTGGTTGCGGTGGAGCAGCTGGCACTGGGCACCCCGGGGGCAGGCACCCCTGCGGGAGAAGTCGGGGCACAGCAGCGTGTGCTTCTTCTTGCACTGGAAGGAGAAGGGGCACAGCTGGGAGAGTGGTGGAGCCCCCTGCACTGTGTGTGGCCTGCTCCACCCACGTGGGCTCTGGCCGAGGCTTCCTGTTGGAGGCCAGACGCCCCCAGGCCAGAATGGCCCCACTTGGCCCGCACCCCCACCCATTCCAAAAGATGCCCCCTGAGCAATCCGAGGCAGGAGGGTACCGCCCAGCTCAGCCCTGGGCCTGGACTGAGGGCAAGGACTGGGCTGGCCTGGGGGGTCCTGCCAGGCTGGTGTGGGGATTCCCAGGGTGCTAATCCCTCCTCCTGACCACAGCCCACCCATTCTGGCAGAAGATGGGGGTGCTGCTGAAGGCCTGGGGGGACCTCACAGGACGGGGTTCAGGCTTCAAGCCCAGGGGTGTGGCAGGTCGGCCGAGGCCAGGCAGCAGGGGTCCAGGCTGGCCGCACACCCGATCCACTGCACCTGTCACGGTGGCTAATTATACCCAGCCGGGAGTGGGCGGGGGGAGTGGGAGCATCTGGCAGGTACTCTGGGCAATGCGCAGCCTCAGCTCCACCCGCCAGGCACTGGCCCGGCCCACAGGGAACCAGGAAGCCTCTGCCCAAGGCCTGCCCTTCCTTGGCCACTGCCCCTGGGGTGGGAAATGCAGGGCCCAACTCTGCAGCCCTGCTGTGCACCCACTTCTTGCCTGAGGCCCTTCCAAGGGAGAGCTGTCTTGTTCTCCCCCGCTCCCCCTGCAACTGGCCTAGTGGGCATGACCGGGAGGAGAGAGCAGAGTGTAGTGAGCTGGGGGCACCCTGACTGCCCCTCATGTTGGGCCAGGTGACAGGCAGCTGGGGACCCGCTGGAGAGACCCAGACCCAGACAAGAACTACCGCAGAGTCCCTGCCAAACTCACCCAGAGTCGAGGGTAAAGCCAGCCCTGGTGCCGGAGCGGCTGTGGTGCTCGCTGGCTCTCGGGGGGTGCACTGACACAATGAAATACAGCCGTGTGCCACATAGCAACGTTTCGGTCAACGATGGATGGGGCATACGACCGTGGTCCCCTAAGATTAGTGCCATCCAGCCTAGGTGTGTAGCAGGCTGTACCACCTAGGTGTGTGTAAGTGTACTCTGATGTTCGCACAACGACAGAATCGCCTCACGACCCACTTCTCAGACCACGTCCCTGTCATAAATCAACACATACTATATGCTGCAACAGCCTTGAGACCACTTCCTCCTGGGCCCCATAACCTCCCTCTTGGGAATCTGTCCTCTGAGTCCAGAACCCAGGATAAAGAGCCTGGCTGAGGACCTCATGGAGCATGCCACCCATTCTTTGAGAAGGATCTGGGCGCTGGCCCCATTCTTGTCCCCACACCTGGCCCCTGGCTGCCACCAAGGGACTAGAAACCCCTCACACTGGTGCTTGGGATCTGGCAGGCAGATGGGAGCAGGCTGGAGCCAGCAGGGCTGGCCGGGAAGGCACCAGGGCCCCTGAACACCCACTGCGCCTCCATGCCAGCTTGTTCCTGCAGTGGGGCTGGACCCACCCCTGCCACCAAGCAGAAGACAGGCTCAGGCCAACGGGTGCTCACTCACTCATTCACTCATTCATTCCTTCCACATGGAGTCAAAGCCCCTCTGCACTGGGCCTGGCTGGTGATGCAGGGTCCTGAAACCCAGCGGCCCCATCCTTGTGGGGCCCACACCAAGAGCGGGAGACCTACAGTGACACTGAGGCACCACGGCAGGGTTGGGCAGTGGGTGCCAGCTACAGGGGCCAGGCAGGCGAGGTCTTCTGGGGAATGAGGGCAGTTTGGGCAGGCAGAGGGGACAGGAAGGACCTCTAGGTGGAGAGGGCCCGGCACGAGATAAGAGATGACCCACTGCCGGCAGATCCTCCAACAGCCAGCTCCAGACGCCTGGCTGCATGCAGAGAGGTGGTCAGAGGGCGCCTGGACCTGTGCTGTCCCCTGCAGTGACCATGAGCCACACAGCTGCTAGAGGTGCAACGTGCTGGAGGAGGCCAGACTTGACAAAAAGGGAAGAATGTAAAAGGCCGCATTTATGTTTCCTCCTTGATTACATGTTGAAATTTGTGATATACTGAAATGTTGAAATATGTGATAAATAAAATTCACTTCACCTGTGCGGTTTTTTTTTTGTTTGTTTGTTTTCGCTTTTTTAAGGTGGCTACTAGAAAATTTAAAATCCTACATGTGGTTCATACCTGGCTGACCTCCTACTGGACAGTGCTGGTATGAACCAACCTTCTTCCCAAGAACAACAAAAAATCTAGGACTGAATGTAAAGAATTTTCTCAAATTATCCAAGAGCTATCAAGAAAGTAAAATGATGGAAGAAAATCTACTCAGAAACATACTGGATGCAAAGGGAGTCTCAAATTTCAAAGGCTTGAGCTCTTCATTGAGACCAAGCTCACTGATGAAAGAGCAAAACCAACCAACCAACCCCAAAACCCCAGGAACCCCCCCAAAGATCTGGAGATTAAGACAGTCATGACTAAATAATTCATGGGTCTAACAAGAAATAATGGAAATTAGATAATATTTAGAACCAAACGATAACAGGAAAATGACGTGTCCAATGTGCAGAGCGAGGCCCTCAGCCCTGCAGGCTCCAGCAGACAGGACCAGCCTCCCAAGTCGGGGACACAGCCAAGAAAGCAGGCGGAAGGAAAAAAGATAGAAACACAGATTAATGAAATAACCAAAATACAACAAAACCAAGAGAGCAAAAAGTTAGTTCTTTGAAAACATTAACAAAGGTTTCCAATAAGATTCATCAGGAAATGGAGAGAAAAGAGACACCGAAACGGCACCAGGAGTGGTGAAAGTGCCACTGCTCTTGCCTGCAGAAAGCAAAAGGGTGTCAGGAGGACGCAGGGAACCCACATTAGTGAAGGAATTCGAACACACAGATGGAATCAACAAATTCTAGCAAAAGTGACTAGAGGAGAAATGAAACCTGAAGGAATATTCCTATGAACATAGAGGAACTTGAATCAGTAGTTAAATAAAGCAAGCTCCAGCCCAGGGTTTTACTGGTGGATCCACCAAATATTTAAGAGACACGTCGTTCCAGCCTTACACGGACTGGCCCACAGAAGAGGGAAGCAGAGGGCACTTCTCAACTAGTTTACAGGGCCAGAACAACCCTGAAATCAAAACCCGACCAGTACTAGACGACAAAGGAACATTGAGGCCAATGTCACTCATGAACAAAGATTCAAAATCCTACACAAACTACAAACAGAGTCCTACAACGGATAAAAACACTAGTATGTCAGGTTGAGTTTATCTCAGGAATGCAAGGTTAGTTTAACACTAGAAAATCAAGTAACAGAAATTAGCATACTAAGAGACTAAAGGAGAGGAATTACATGATCACCTCAATAGTCACGAAAGAAGTGTTTAATAAAACTCACCACAATTCAAAGCTGTCCAGGTCAGTGACCGAAAGGAACTTCCTTAGCTTAATATAAAGGGTTTCTTAAAAGAACCTTCCAGAAGGCATCACTTGATAGAGGAAAGGCTGGAAGCCCACTACTATCACAGTCAACATTGTCCTGGGGTCACAGCCAGGGCAGGAAGACAAGAAAAAGAAAGAAATGCAACTGAACTCAAAAGAAGAAAAAAATGGTTATTATTTGCAAAAGATATGATTATTTATGTAGAAAAACCCAAGAGAATCCATGGTTAAATTATAACAATTACTAACATTGTTTAGCAAGGTTGCTGGAAACAAAAATCAACAAAAAAATTGTATGTCTATAAACCAACAAACAGTGAGAAAATAAAATTTAAAAATATATTATTTATAGTAATAAGAAAAGTGACAGAAATAAATCTAACAAAGATAAGTAAGAACTTTATTAAAAGACATCAAAGGAGAGACCTGTCTCATTAGAGATGGATGCCTCCTTCTCGGGCAGCAAGACTCACCAGAGAGACAGGTACCAATTCTCACCAAAATGAGGCCCAGATTCAGGACAATCTCAATCAAAACTCCAACTTTTAAAAAAATGTACATTGAATTTAAAATATATTTCTGGAAGAATAAAGGACAAGAATAGCTAAAAGAGCCGTGAAGAAGGTGAAGGAATTTGCTTTATTATTATGAATTACTGTGAAGCTTAAGTCATCCAGAGAGGATGGAAGCGGCTGAAGGACAAGCTGAGCGATGAAAGAACAGAGAGCCACGTCTACGCAAACGCGACTCGCAGGGGAGCTGACACAGACTCACGGCAAACCAGCTTTTCTACGTGAGGTGCTGGGGCAAGAAGAAACCGGAGCTCTGCCTCAGCCCAGGCACAGCATCACCTCCCGCTGATTAGAGGCAGGAGTCCTGAATGTGGACGGCCAGACTGCAGGGCTTCTGGGAGACACCAGAGCACGGCCTGCAGGAGGGAAGGATTCCTCACAAAGACACAAAAGGCACAAACTGCAAAGGAAGACTGAAGAGATTATTTCCATTAAAATTAAGAACTTTTGTTTTTCAAAATATACCATAAAGTGGTGAAAAAACAAACCACAAACTGAAAGAAGGTATTTGCCACTTATATGACTGACAACATTCATATTCAGAATATTTTATATTTGTATATTTTTACGTTCATATTTATATTCATAAATTTCCTGTGAGTCAGTAAGAGAAAACCGACCCAATGGAGAAATGTCTCCACCCTCACTTAAACACCACCCGCCCAGGTATTCTTCACAGGAGAAGGCACACAGGGCTTAAACACTGGGAGGGTGTTTGGCTTCATTTAAATCAGAGAAAGGCAAATTTCAAAACACAGTGAGGTAACTTTTAATCCTTCTAATGGTCAAAAAGGAAAAAAGAGGTTGAACGTCACCAAGTGCTGGCAATGAAGCCAGTCCACAAGCATGACGGGCACAAGCCGCCTGGAAATCGTCTGAATTTTCTATCACAGCGGATTGTCACACTCCACACCTGCGGCGCGTGCCTCACTACACGCTTTAAAGCCCTGGTTCCTA